CCTAAAGTTTCTTAGAAATGCATTGATTTTAGTTTAGATGTAATTTGAAGAGAAACTGAGAAGGAACCCATGATGGTGATTTTGTTGTTTCAAAAAGTGCCATCCTACTAAAATTAGAAAAAAAATACTCTTTTATACTGAGTGAGGAATCCAAAGATAACCAAACCAACCCCAAATGAGGTCTATGAGACGTGAAAAACACATACTTTTCAGTTAACTAAATATTTGAGTTCTATTTATAAGGACAGTGGTGGCATTGGGTGTGTGTCTTTAGAATGTTTCATTCTAAATAGATTTTGTTCATCTTCCCTTTTTGGATAATACTTCAACTAGATTTTTGTTTCTACATTGTTTGCTTTTATCTTCTAAGGCTAAAATTTGTTGAAGAGACATTCATACAATGGATACTCATTACTCAATTTAGCCGTAAATCATATGACTAGTATTTAAGTGTGAATATTAAAAATATAACCTCAGAATGGAATTCTGATAAATAAAATAACCCAGATGAGTTTAAAACCATTTTCAAAGACAAGTGGAAAAAAAGTTATTAATTTTCTTCTCTGTGAGGACTGATCATTATTTTGTTTGTTTTGAGATGGAGTTTCACTCATATCGTTCAGGCTGGAGTGCATCTCGGTGCCATCTCGGCTCACTGCAACCTCTGCCTCCTGGATTCAAGTGATTCTCCTGTCTCAGCCTCCCTAGTAGCTGCGATTACAGGCACCCACTACCATGCCCAACTAATTTTTGTATTTTTAGTAGAGATGGGGTTTCATCATATTGGCCAGGCTGGTCTCGAACTCCTGACCCCAGGTGATCCACCCACCTCAGCCTCACAAAGTGCTGGGATTACAGGCATGAACCAGCCCACCGTGCCGATCATTACTTTGTAAGATATTCACCCAAATTTTTTGTTGCTTATATGATAATGATCCAGCGTTGGCATGATGGTGACTTTTAGGATTTCAAAGCAAAGCCTTGCCAATTATCTGTAGACAACGCCTTTTATTGGAGAAACAGTTTCTGGCTTGCTACTGTGCTTTAGTGAGACTGACTCCTTAACCATGGGCTACCATGGGACCTGAGCTGCCCATCATGATCTGGTGGGTTAGACAAAATGATGTCTAACCCACCAGACCATAAAGTTGGGTGTGCACAGCGGCACTCATTGTCAAATGAAAGTGATATATACAAGACTGGCTCAAGTAGGCCCTAAAGACAAGAGTAAATTGTATGAGGAAGGGGGCCAGATGCCCATGGTTGCTACTCCTTCTATGTGACCTTCTCTCTCCCAGCCTGTACCTCTTTCCTCATGGAGAGTTCCTTATGATCAGTTGATTGAGAAAGACAAAACTTGAGTCTGATTTATAGAAAAAATTTGGGTCTGCTTTGTAGAAAGTACTGCACAATACACAGGATCTACCTAAAAGTGAAGAGCTGCAGCTCTACAAACCGCTCAAGGACATCCCTGAAGGACAGTGGTGAAGAGAAATACCCCCAGTGGACAGAATTACAAGCAGTGCACTTGGTTGTTCATTTTGCTTGAAAGGAGAAATGGCCAGAGATATGAATCTGGCATTCAGGCTATGACCTATGAGTTAGCTGAATGGAACTGGAAGAGACATAACTGGAAAGTTTGTAACAAGAAGATATAGGGAAGAGATGCAAGGATAGAGGTATACAGGCAAACAACGTGAAGATATTTGTGTCTCATGTGAATGCTCATTAAAGGGTGACCTCAGTAGAGGATTTTAATAATCAAGGGGATCGGAGGACTCATTCTGTGGATATCAATCAACCTCTTTCTCCAGCCATTCTTGTCATTATCCAGTGGGCTCATGGTGGCAGAAGCCCAGCAGCATAGACTTCCATTCACCACGGCCAACCTGGCTACAACCACTGGGGAGTGCCCAACCTGCTGCTGCAGAGACCAACACTGAGTCTCCCCTGTGGCACCACTCCCCAGGGTAATCAGCCAGCTGTGTGGTGGAAGGTTGATTACATTGGACTTCTTCCATCATGGAAAGGGCGCATTTGTTCTTAGTAAAATAGACACTTATTCGGAATATGAATTTGCCTTTCTTGCATACAGTGCTTCTGCCAAAACTACCATTCGTGGACTTATAGAATGGTTGCCACCATCATGGTAATCCACACAGCACTGCTTCTGACCAGAGAACTCACCTCATAGCCAATGACATGTGGCGATGGGCCCATGGTGATGGAATGTACTGATCTTAGCATAGTGTGTCCCTCATAAAGCCACTGATGTGACAGAACAGAGGAATGGCATTTTGGAAACAAGTTACAGGACCAACTGTAACTGGGGCAGTGTCCTCCAGGAAGCTATATATGGTCTAAATATGGTGCCGTTTCTCCCATAGCCAGGTTTGCAGGCCCAAGAATCAAGGAGTGGAAATTTAGTGACACCACTCACCATTACCCCTAGTGATTCACTAGCAAAATTGTCACTACTTTAACCTCTGCTGGTCTAGAGGTTGTAGTTCCAATGGAAGAATGCTTCCAATCTGGAAACACAGCAATGATCCCACTGAACTGGAAGTTAAGACTGCCATCCAATCACTTTGGGCTCCTCAAGCCTCTGCATCAAAAGGCAAAGAAGGGCTGGGCAAGGTGGCTGACGCCTGTAGTCCCAGCACTTTGGGAGGCCGAGGCGGGTGGATCACCTGAGGTTGGGAGTTCGAGACCAGCCCAATCAACACAGAGAAACCCTGTCTCTACTAAAAATACAAAATTAGCCTGGCATGGTGGCACATGCCTGTAATCCCAGCTACTCATGAGGCTGAGGCAGGAGAATGGCTTGAACTCTGTAGGCGGAGGTTGCGGTGAACCGAGATTGCGCCATTGCACTCCAGCCTGGGCAACAAGAGTGAAACTCCGTTTCAAAAAAAAAAAAGGCAAAGAAGGGAGTTACTGTACTATTGAAGTGATTAATTCTGATTACCATGGGGAAATTGGGTTGCTACTATACAGTGGAAGTTAAGGAAAAGTATGTTTGAAATACAGATGCCTTAGGGCATCTCTTAGTACTACTATGTCCTGTCACTAAAGTCAGTGGGAGGTCGGGCACAGTGGCTCACGCCTGTAATCCTAGCACTTTGGGAGGCTGAGGCACGGAGATTACTTGAAGTCAGGAGTTTGAGACCAGCCTGGCCTACATGGTAAAACCCTGTCTCTTAGCTGAGCATGGTGGTGCGTGCCTGTAGTCCCAGCTACTTGGGAGGCTGAGGCACGAGAATTGCTTTAACCCAAAAGGTGGAGGTTGCAGTGAGCTGAGATCATGCCACTTCACTCCAGCCTGGGCGACAAAGCAAGACTCTGTCTCCAAAAATAAAATAAAATACAATCAATGGGAAACCACAATAAAATTCAAGCAAAGATTTGGTTCACCCTGCCAGGCTTAGAAGCATGACCAGCTGAGATGTTTACTGACAGCCAAGTTAATACGGAATTGATAATGGAAGAAGGTAACTGCAAAACCAGCTACAGCCACATGACCCATTGTAGAAATGAGAATTATAATAGTTATATTTCTTCCTCATGTTTGTGTGTGTGTGTATATATAGGTACACATAGATGATTGATTGATAGATAGTTAGATAGATAGATACCTAGATCATCAAAGGGGGTCTTATTCCATCAACTGAAAGACCCTAAAAGCAGAACTGAAGTTCGTTGAAGAAAGTGTACTTGCAAGACCAGGCGCGGTGACTCATGTCTGTAATTCCAGCACTTCGGGAGGCCAAGGCAGGTGGATCACCTGAGGTCGGGAGTTCGAGACCAGCCTGACCAATATGGAGAAACCCCGTCTCTACTAAAACTACAAAATTAGTCAGATGTGGTGGCGCGTGCCTGTAATCCCAGCTACTCGGGAGGCTGAGGCAGGAGAATCGCTTGATCCCAGGAGGCAGAGGTTGCAGTAAGCCAAGATGGTGCCATTGCACTCCAACCTGGGCAACAAAAGCGAAACTCTGTTTCAAAAAAGAAGGAAAGGAAAGGAGAGGAGAGGAGAGGAAAGGGGAGGGGAGGGGACGGGAGGGGAGGGGAAAGAAAGGGAAAGAAGGAAAGAAGGGAGGGAGGGAAGGAAGAAGGGAGGGAGGAAAGAAGGAAGGAAACTTGTAGACTACAACTTCCACATACTCCCAAGTTCCAGCCTGCCTTTCCAGGTTGTCCCTCAGTCACCTCGGAACACACTTGAAGGGCCTCAGAGGAACTCAGGGGCGTGAAAGGAGCATATGGAAGTGACAATTTAGATGACCAAAGAGGGCCAAGCATGGTGGCTTGTAATCCCAGCACTTTGGGAGGCCTGTGATCCCAGTACTTTGGGAGGCCAACGCAGGAGGATCACTTGAGCCCAGAAGTCCAAGACCAGCCTGGACAACATAGTAAGACCCATCTCATAAATTAGACAGACAGATGATAGATATGTAGGTAAGTAGGTAGGTAGGTAGGTAGGTAGATAACCAAAAGGATCTGTGGACCTATAGATAGGGGAAAAATTGCTGCAGGCTCGTGGACTTGGCACATGCTGTTCCTTCTACCAGGGAATTTTCCTCAGATCCTCCTACAATTGTCTTGTCATTTGGATCTCAGTTTAAATGTCCAAGATCACACCACTGCACTCCAGCCTGGGCGACACGGTAAAACTCTGTCTCAAAAAAAAAAAAAAAAGGAAAGAAAGAGAAAGAAAAATACTGAGGTATATCCCTATGGTTTAAATTAACAGACTTGGGGCCAGGAGTGGTGGCTCATGCCTGTAATCCCAACACTTTGGGAGGACAAGGCAGGAAGATCACTAGAGCCCAGGAGTTCGCGACCAGCCTGGACAACATGGTGAAACCCTGTATCTCCAAAAAAAAAAAAAAAAAAAAAAAACCCAAAAAATTTGTTAATTATTTTTAAAATTTTTAACAGGCTCATAGAACCATGATTACCCACAAAATATTCCTCATACTGGAAAAACTTAAAATGCAAGATTGCTCTTTCAGCCATTTCTTTCTTTTTATTTACAGTTTGTGTTCAATGCAAATCAATTCCATAACATAAGAATTTACTATGAATCAAAGCATAAATACACAAACACAATATACAATCCAAAATAGATGTACAGCATTCTGGAATAAAGCAGAAGAGTGTTCATTCACACACACAGTAGCTTCAGATGTGTTCAATCTGTTTGTTTCCATGTAGTTTTCTAAAGATGGAAAAAAATGACTTTGGTCATCAAGACTACTGTGGCCATATTAGATTCCTGGAACATCTAAGCATCAGTGTGTGACCATGCGAACAAAAGACTTCGGGGAGTGTCTATTTTTAAAAAGGTTTCTGTGTGTCGAGGCAGTTGTAAAATATTTACTGCAGAATCAAGCCCACTTTTAGGCTTAGGACCAGGTTCTAACTATCTAAAAATATTGACTGATAACAAAAAGTGTTCCAAATGTGGCTATTCTGATCCATAACTGTTTAAAGAAAAAAAAGTATATACAGAAAGAGTATAAAAGTTTTTGTGAATTTAATGCAAATTAGCTTCCAGTCTTCACTTCCCAAATACTTCATTTACAGTTTTGATTCCTTTACATTTTTGCCTTTTTAATTTCAAGATTTGCAATTTTGCCGTCAAAACAGATCATTTTTTTAAATTGTAAAAAGTATTCAACATATGCAGATATAAAAAGCATTTTGACAGCTGGGTGCGGGGGCTCAAGCCTATAATCCCAGCACTTTGGGAGACCAAGCCAGGTGGATCACCTGAGGTCAGGAGTTCGAAACCAGCCTGGGTAACATGGTGAAACCCTGTCTCTAGTAAAATTACAAAAATTAGCCGGGCATGGTGGCAGGTGCCTGTAATCCCAGCTACTTGGGAGGCTGAGGCAGGAGAATCGCTTGAGCCCAGGAGGCAGAGGGTGCACTGAGCTGAGATCACGTCACTGCACTCCAGCCTGGGCAACAAAGTGAGACTCCATCTAAAAAATAATAATAATAATAAGTATTTTGAAATTAATCGCGGTCAATAGAATTCTACTCTTTGGAATCTGTTTAGCTAAATGAATGTAGTGCTCTTGTTGAATGGAAATAGATGATAGGAAATGCCTACCATCTGACTCTATATGGATAATCAAGAGTTGCTCAGAATGCTTGGACCTGGGGGTAGATTCTCATTCATCATTGCCCTGGCACATGTCAATTACTACGTAAAAAGTCAAATGCAATGTCAAATCCAAAGCCTCAAGAGGAAAGTGAGTTCAGTTCCCAAGAGAACAGCGATAGCTCAACAATGTAAAAACTTCATCTAGAGTATATCAGCATTAAATTAGTGCTGTCGAAACAATACATTGAGGAATTACAGTAACACCTGGAAGTTCCTTCTAATGTACATATAAATAGAATCATGGAAGCTTTTTATATTACCTGTTTTATGGCCTTATAGAATTAATGAACCAAATGAAAACTGAATCTCCATTCCACAATCACATCCTTTATTACTATTCTTATTTTCAAGGTAGGATTAAGTGTCCACATTTCTTAAACCACATTCAAGGAAATCATGTCTTAAGCTATTTTGGATGTTGCCTCTCCTTCATCTTGTACATGAAACACCAGCAGATTTAACATTGGCATCTATCATCTAGTCAAACCTCTCACATGTTCTTCAAGCAGATCAAATTTGGGATTCTCAACATTTTCTGCGTCAATAAAAGGTGTGGAATTAGTAGATTCAATGAAGACCTGTTTTTCCTCGCCAAGACGCCATTTGGATTGGGTTTAGAAGATGGGGAAGTTGAGAAGATGTTTCTTGGCCTGAGTCTCTTAACAGTAGAGATGTAGAAGAGAGAGTGAGACCACGAAGAGACTGGCTGTTGACTGCAGGGCACCACCAACCGCCTTGGTGGTGGTATTAGCTGGATTTGGGGTAGTCGAAGTATTCGGGGAGGAGGTACTTGAAAGTGGTGTAGAAGTCGTTGCAGTGGAATACATCTAAAATATATAAAAAGTTACATGGATAAATTTCCACATCACAGCTACCTCCGCATACTCTAATATAAAATTAAAGTAGGTGATATATATTCTTAGATTGCTCTCTTACCATTGTTCTCTTACCCAACATCATTAAATTCTCAATTCTTGCTCAGTCCACCAAGGTCATTCTCTTTAATTTCAAAACAAACTACCTAGAGATGCCTCAAAAGTGCCAAGTGGCAACAAGAACAAAAAAGCTATTCAATAACTGTAACTCCTGCTTTTATTTCTTTGCAAAGGAAAAAAAGGACCAAGTTAACTAATTCGGTTTCCGAGATTACATTGACTTAATGGCATTGCAATACGGTCGATTTTCCCAGAAAGGGAGAGATTTTAAAGTTGCACAAAAAAATGGGGATTTTTAAATATTGTAACTGAGACTCACGGAACTAGAATTAATTGGGTCAGTGTCTATCCTGGATTTGCTAGGTAACTTTCACATACTCATTTAATACAGCCTTGGAAACTTAGCCTTTTCCTTAAGGGGGAACTGCAGTCTTATCTTCTCCCTTGAAATTTGAAATAATTCTTCTAAAAAATGGCCATAATATTTGTGTTAAATTGAAAGAGAAAATGAGTCTTTCTTTAAGGCAGAATGACTTCAAGAAAACACCATGAGGTCGGAAGGATTTCACAAAAGACAACGAGAGGGTATGGTGTTAAGTTTCACCAGCAGCAGCCTCACTGGTCACTAAGCTCAGTGCTGTGGCCAAGAACCAAGGTTCTCCCAGTGTCCCAGCGTCTGAGTGGCATCATTCACCACTGATTTTTCAAGCCACGAAATGCACAGTCCAGTAGGGCACGTGATAATCTCTCCTTTGTCATGGAACAAAGGCAGATCGGAGTTTTCAGCCCTCACTGCAAGGGAGGGTTTACAAGGGCTTCTGATTACAGGCGGGAGGGAGGACGTGGCACCAGGCAAGAGTCTGGGCCCCATGTACATTTGGCTGCCTATTAATCCAAAGATAAAGCCCTCCTACATCAGCACCAGCTCCTTTTGTTGTAAAATCCATAAAGTCATTAAACAAATATTGACTAAAGAAATGTACAAATTCTATCCAAAATAGATTAGTGACAACAACAAAAAAATCTGTATCAAGTCCAATTTATTTATTGGGCACCTACTGTGTGCAAGATTTAGTGTGTCCCATCAGGAAACGGCACTCCCAATAAAGAAAAGCATTAATATGGTAATTTACTTAAAACAGGGTGCCTGTTTTGGACACCTTGTTTGGGATCCCTGAAAGTAACCTGTTCTTTATTCATACAATTAGTTTTAGTGCAGCAGGTGATATTTTCTTTTTAAAACCCGGTGTATCAATCTGAGGATCTAAAGATCCTCTATACCAACAAAAATTTATGTTTATTAAACTGACACTAAACAAAATTTTCTCTCCCAAGCTAGATTTATTCGCATTATTAAAACTTCTCACTTACAACGTTGGAGGAAAAAATCTCGTCGGAGAGAAGATGGGGCGGGGAGTAGAGGGGGCCGGTTTCTCGCGGCCGCGCCCCTCCCCCATCAAAGAATTGAGGAGGGCTCGGGAGCGCAGCGGACTGGGAGGAAGACAATAGGGTACGGTTACCCGGCCCGCGGTGGGGAAGAGCGCTCCACATTTTCAGGCTGCACTCCCAGGTGAGCCCAGACGTTCGATGTCTGGGGACGGAGGGCCCAGCGCGCCCAACTTTTGGGGGAGAAGCCCCGGAGACAGTCCTCTATTAACCCCAACCGAAGGCGCTGGAGAGCCGTCACTCCCATCCCCCAAACCCGAACTCTCCCGGACAAACGTACCTTCTTAGCCCCCGCCCCCGCTAGGGTCTCCCAGGCCCAGCCCCCGGTCTCCCTCGCCGGCACCGTGCATCCATCCACCCTCGAGGCAGCGCTGCGCGGTCCCCGGTACCCGCACCCGGGGCGAGATTCCCCGGATAGAGGGTCTAGGGAGAAGGCGCTGGTAGCGGCGACCCGGACAAAGCCTGGCGGGGACTCGGGACAGAATCGTCCCACCATGCTGCCTCCCCAGAACTAGCCAATCTGGGCTAAAATAACATGGGGATCCTAAGATGACAAGCAATGGACGTGAAAGATTGCCTTGCAGAGAGCGCAGCGTCAGGAGAGGGTCCCCGCCTCGGCTCCAGCGCCGAACCTCCCGGGACTGGGATTTAAAAAGAGCCGGATAGCCGTAGCTTCTCCGGGATCCCCAGTCCAACTCCGAGGGTGGAGGATGGGCGTGAGCCGCCCTCCCTGAAAGGGACGGTCGCCTCTCTTTGTGTAGAGCTCGGGGAGCGCGAAGACACTCGTAGGGGGAAGCGGGTCCTCAGGGGACCCAGGGACGACGTCGCCCGGGAGCCTGAGCTCTCCAGGCGCTAATCCCTGAGGGCACCTCGGGCCTCTGGGTGAAAGTGGGAAGCAGGCACCTGGCCGCCTGGGAAGGGACAGCGTGGAACCTGGGGTGGGGCAGAGTCCTCTCAGCCCGCGCGCGGAGCTGCATTGTTCCCAGGGCCGTGGGAGGGGAGGGGGCAGCACGCAAGGGAGTGGAAAAATGGGGTCCACATGGCCCTCTCCCCTGGTCAGCTAAGCAAGATTCCCTCCCAGTCCCTGTCCGTGGCCCGAAGTAGGGGCGCAGGACGGTCCCCCGGGACCTGGTCCATCTCCCCCGCCCCCACCCCGGGCACGGCCCTCGAGCCCCGCCGGGCGCCAGGGCCTCACCTGCGTGGGTAGGAGCAGTGCCAGAAGCAGCAGCCCCAGCCCGAGTCTGGCCACCATTGCTCTGCCCATGTCCCCTCCGTCGGTGCGCGCGTCTCGCTGGATGCCGGGTGCCTGAAGAACCTCTGGCTCCGGGCGGGCGCAGGCAAGGTGGGGAGCGCGGCGAGCCGGCGGGACCTTATATACCAGGACAGCCACAATAGCCGTGACGTGGCGCCGCCCGCCCACCCCGGCTCCCCACCGCCGCCGCCCGCCGCCTCCCAGCCTTCCCCGCCCTGCTCTGGGCTCCCCAGCGCCCCCTCCCCCGCCGCCGCCACCGCCACCGCCGGTCCGGGCCGCGAGGGAGACCTCCGGGCGGGCGCGGCCGCAGGTGGGCGGGCGCCGCCGGCTGCTGTTACCCGGCTGGTTTCCCCGCGCCGGCTGCGGGCAGCGGGCAGGCTGGCACAGGTGCCCAGCGACTCCACACAGGACCCGGGGCACACACGCGAGCCACACACGCCGCGCTGGGGGCCGGGCCCAAGTTTCCTTTGTTTCCCGGGACCTGCCATCTTACCCCCCAAAAGAAAAGTCCGCGCGTCCGCCGCGGCGGGGCAGCAGCTGGTGCTGGAGCAAGTGCGTTGCCACCCAGACTGCAAAATGTGCCCCGGAGACCCGAGAGGGGCTGCGAATTCCAGTGCGACCCGCGTGGGGGGCGGGCGCCGGGGCTCCTCGGGCGGGATTATCTCTCGGCCCGCCGCAGAGGAAAGGGGAACGCAGCGGGCGTGGCGGGGACGCGGGCCGGACGCTCACCCTGGCCGACTGGACCCGGGCGCCGCCTAGCGCGAACCCTTCCCTGCTGGTCGGCGCGGCTCGCAGGCGGTGCCCGGGTCCGGAGCGATCTGCGCGCTCGGCCCCGCGGCCGCGCCCTCCCCGAAGCCCTTGCTTTGTTTTGTGAGCGCCTCGTGTCAGCCAGGCGCAGCGAGCTCACGGGGGCGTCCCGGGTCCGCATCCTCCTGGGAGCTGGGGAGCCTCTCGCTGGACGCGGACCCGCTGCCGGACGCCGCAAACTACAGGGTTTCGGCCCCCGCCCGGCTCCTGCCTGCGGCGGGCGAGGAGGAGACGGCCCACCCTGAGGGGATCCCCTCCGCGGCCCTGAAGCCCCCACCGCCCACCCCGAGCGGCTCTGCTCCCTGGTTCTACTCAAGGGGCAGGAGGCTCCCTCCTGGCGGTACCACTACAATTCACTGTCCCTCTCGAATTCCTGGGGATACACTTTTTCGGTCTCTGTTGCCCGTCATTCGTTTAAAGAGCAAAACCGTTCGGGTTAAAGGCATTTACTTATCCGTAGTTGCCATTAGGCAATTTAATGAACTGGCACAAAGAGGAGATTCGTCATCACTCTTTAGATTTTGGTGGAAACCTTTTTCCTATCCATCTTGTGAAAACTTTCAAGTACACAATAAAAGTTGAAGTAATTTTACTGGTGGAGTATTTTGAGTTTAAATTTTAATTGCAAGACTTAATCTTTTTATTGAAGGTTTAGCCCAAGTGTTTTTCAATCTTTAAAGCAAACAGCAGAGACCAAACCTAGTATGGTTGAAAATTTGTTTAAATTTCACTGTTGCAGAACACTCTCGTTAGTATTTTTGGTTCAATTTTTCATTGCAAGACTTGATCTTTTTATTTAAGGTTTAGCCCAAGCATTTTTCAGTCTTTAAAGCAAACCACAGAGTAGGAAGATTCTAAATTTGTTTAAATTTCACTTTTTCAGAACAGTCTCATTAAAACTAAGTTTCAGGGAAGCAAAGCGACAATGAAATCTGCAATGGATCTGTTGACTGAATAGTGACTGAATCGGTTTGTGCCTTGAAGGTCAGTCACTTTAGCTCAGTAACTTTCCAAGCACGTTTAAGATGTGCTTGGGAACACAAGAATTTCTGTCAAGCACAAGTGGACTTTCCTGTTTAACAGTGTACCACGTTATATAGAAATACTTTGGCCAGGTGTGGTGGCTCACGCCTGTAATTCCAGCAGTTTAGGAGGTTGAGGCTGGCGGATCACCTGAGGTCAGGAGTTCGAGACAAACCTGACCAACATGGTGAAACCCTGTCTCTACTAAAAATACAAAATTAGCCATGCATGGTTGCTCATACCTTGTAATCCCAGCTACTTGGCAGGCTGAGGCAGGAGAATAGCTTGAACCTGAGAGGTGGAGGTTGCAGTGAGCAAAGATCAGGCCATTGCACTCCAGCCTGGGCAACAAGAGCAAAACTCTGAATGAATGAAAGAAAGAGAGAGAGAGGAAGGGAGGGAGGGAAGGAGGGAGAGAGGGGAGGAAAGGAAGAAAAAGAAAAGGAAGAAAGAAAGAATAAATACTCTGGTCCAGCTTCTCCATTCCTTTTCCGGGTGAAAATATGGACTGTTTGTGACTCAGGAGTGCCGGGTTCCAAGGCAGGGGGCGTAGTATGTCCTCCACAAGCTGCTTGTTGAACTAACTGGTGGTATTCCTAGAATAAGACAGCCTCTAAAGACAGACTGCCAGAGTTCAAACCGTGGCTCTGCTAATTTTGCTGGAGACAAAAAGCCTCAGTTCCTTCATCTATAAAATGGAGATAATAACATCATTAGTAATTAGTTATTAAAGAGTTATTGTATATGTAAGTATTAGAATACTGCCTGCCTCAGAGTAGTAGCTCTCGCTTAATATTTACTCTTCCACTGAAGGTGCCAGGAACCAGAAGGTAATTACCTTCTCTGCCTCTGTGTAATACGTGAAAGAATATCAGTCTCCAAATAATTCCCAAAACTGGCAAGGCACTTGGGATCTGTGCTTTGTGAACCATTTCATCACCAGCTAATGAGACTGGAGAATTCACAGAGCAAAGCCCTTCACCTCTGCCCAGGAGCTCCCCCTGGGCATCCTACTGGAGGTGTTGCCCAAGTCTTTGACAACTGGAGGCCCAACCCAGGTAAGAAACTTCTCTACAGGTCTCCACCCTACCCTGTTTCCTGTACAGCTAGAAACTCAAGAAAACTGCCTGATTTTTCCTTTGCAGTTCTTTTGGTTTGTGATTCTTTCTTCCTATTATTCCTCCACTTCTCCTGGTTTTTCGTAGTTTTTTTTGCTAATAAAAACTGAGCCATGGCTGGGTGCGGTGGCTCACGCCTATAATCCCAGCACTTTGGGAGGCCGAGGCGGGCAGATCACATGGTCAGGAGATCGAGACCATCCTAGCTAACATGATGAAACCCTGTCTCTACTAAAAATACAAAAAAAATTAGCTGGGTATGGTGGCACATGCCTATAGTCCCAGTTACTCAGGAGGCGGAGAGGCAGGAGAATCGCTTGAACCCAGGAGGTGGAGGTTACGGTGAGCCAAGATTGCGCCACTGTACTCTAGCCTGGGCGACAGAGAGAGACTCTGTCTCAAAAAAAAAAAAACAAAAAAACAAACAAACAAAAAAACTTAGCCAGTAATAACTCATGCCGCTAAACCAAATTGAGACTCTTACCAGTTATGCTGAACTTTTTGTTGAGACACATGGCCAATTTCCATTTTGTAGAGAAAGTGTGGCCTAAAATGATTTTGAAACAGATTGATTGCATAAATTGATGTATGTGTGGAAAGTTATAACTTTCAGTTTTCATAGCTTTCATGAGATAGTATGAAAAACTCCCTCATTTGATGCTGGTTCTCTTCTGAGGAATACAGAGGGAGGAGCAATGCTTACAATTTTTTTTTTTTTTTTTTTGGAGACGAAGTCTCGCTCTTGTTTCCCAGGCTGGAGTGCAGTGGCACAAACTTGGCTCACTGCAGCCTCTGTCTCCTGGGTTCAAGCGATTCTCCTGCCTCAGCCTCCTGAGTAGCTGGGATTACAGGCACCCGCCACCACGCCTGGCTAATTTTTGTATTTTTTTAGTAGAGACAGAGTTTCACCATGTTGGCCAGGGTGGTCTCGAACTCCTGGCCTCAGGTGATCCGCCTGCCTCAGCCTCCCAAAGTGCTGGGATTACATGCGTGAGCCACCATGCCCGGACAATGCCTACAATTTCTAAGTGCAGACCTCAGACCAGACTGGCACAGCACATGGTAGATTCTGGGGTCAGACCTGGATTTGAATCCTGCACCACCACTTTCTCTTTTTTTTTTTTTTTTAGACAGGGTCTCACTCCGTTACCCAGGATGGAGTGCAGTGGCTCACTGCAACCTTCACCTCCCTGGTTCAAGCCATTCTCCTGCTTTAGCCTCCCAAAAGGCTATGTCTTGTCTACCCAATACCCACCGCACCTGGCATGCAGTCAGTATTTGCTGGTTGAATGGACTAATATTAAGGAAACAGGTTCATTTGCTTTTTAAGATAAAATAATAAATCCTGTTTCTAGAGGAACAGAAGATGCAGGGGTTAACTAGTTGACATTTTTAGCACTTTTTGGCAAAATAGGTATGAAATATAATGTGAATCCAATAAAGATGTTCCTTCTGTGCTTTATAGCACAAATAGGGGCTGGAATAACCAAATATTTAATTTAAATTCTGTTCTACAACATGATGCTATTCTTAGTTGTGTTCATAATACTCTTTTTTTTTTTTTTTTTTGAGACGGAGTCTCGCTCTGTTGCCCAGGCTGTAGTGCAGTGGTGTGATCTGGGCTCACTGCAACCTTTGCCTTCCGAGTTCAAGTGATTCTCCTGCCTCAGCCTCCTGAGTAGCTGGGACTACAGGCGCACGCCACCACACCGGCTAATTTTTGTATCTTTAGTAGAGGGAGTTCCACCATGTTGGTCAGGCTGGTCTGGAACGCCTGACTTAGTAATCTGCCCGCCTCGGACTCCAAAGTGCTGGGATTTGGGCGTGAGCCACTGCACCCAGCCCTCTTACTCCCTCTTAATTCTGTGCCACCCTGCACTTGGTTGGCACTGAATATTTCCATTTATCCTGGTCTTTTAGTCGAGCTTTGTGCTTCACTGCCAACCATGAGCAGGCAGTAAAGGTAACAAAGTGAGTTTGCATTTCTGACTGGTGAGGTCCTAGGTCCAGTAGCTGCAGCATGTTGAATCAGCTGGTGGCGTCCCAGCCGGACTCTCTGTGTGTACGTGCTGCCCCCTGCTGGCCACTGGGACCCTACGGGCTCACTGTCAGGAAGACAAAAACAACTCTTGTGCCAAATGTAAAAAGCCCTGCGTTTTGGAATCCTTATAAAGCTAATAAACCACGATTATTTTCTTTGACTATTAGTTCCTTTTTCCCCCTGTAGAGTCACTCAAATTATCTTAAGCCTCATTGAGACCAGAAAACCAGTGTAAAGACAAAGAATTGTGACTGTATTCAGATGCAAATTGAATAATAGGATGCTTACCTCTAAGCATCCTGTGGTGTTTGAAATAAAATAAAGAAGCAACTCTTAATCTCTTTGGTCAGAATTTAAATTCGGTGTCTCCCTTGTGTTGGCAAGGATGTAAGAAAAATCTTTCTCATCGATGCTGATGGGATTATGGAAAGGAATTTAACATATCTCAGTATTAAAAATGCACATTCTCCTTATTTTAACGATTTAACCTGGCCGAGCACAGTGGCTCATGCCTGTAATCCTAGCAGTTTGGGAGGGCGAGGCGGGCAGATCACCTGAGGTCAGGAGTTCGAGACCAGCCTGGCCAACGTGGTGAAACCCTGTCTCTACTAAAAATACAAAAATTAGCCAGGCATGGTGGCAGATGCCTGTAATCCCAGCTACTTGAGAGACTGAGACAGGAGAATTGCTTGAACCCAAGAGGCAGAGGTTGCAGTGGGCCAAGATCGTGCCACTACACTCCAGCCTGGGTGACAGAGATGAGACTCCATCTCAAAAAAAAAAAAAAAAAGAATTTAACCTACAGATAAAC